CGTCAGCGTAAAGGGAGCCTATAACCCAGGCCAACACTCCCTTCCAGCCGCTTCCACGCACGAGAGCCAGACCAGTAACTAGGAACCCAGAAAAACCCGCGCTGGCACTGTTAGGGTGTGGTAGGGTGTCGGACTGGGAGTTACTAGGGTCAGCAGGGGAGTTGTTAGGCTGCCTTGGGCCCGGTCGGTTGCGTCCGGGTGCGATGAGGATAGCCAAGGGCGCATGGCCTGGCAAGGCAGTGTCAACACCAACCTCAGCTTCCCGAAAGAGGGCACGTAGCTCTCCCTCACGGATGCGTGCAACAAGATCCGAGCCAACAGGGCCGACACTCCGATACGTGGGCAGCTGCAGGAGGACATCGCGCACCGGTGCCCGCGGCCCTAGGTAGACGATGTTGATTTCGCCTCCAACGGGCCTTGCATCAACAACATAGGTGGTTTGCCATGCGGATGCTATGGCTTGCACAAACTGGACCGGCGGTAGTCCTGGCATGGGAGGGTAGACGCGAAGCAGGAAGATAGGGGTGGTATCCTCAACTGCTAGGTAGGCGGACCGCAGTAGCCCTTCCCGATCCTGAAATGGATCCGTGTCATAAAAGACAAGGCCATTGAGGGTGATAACCGCTGCCCGTTGCCATGGGTTAGGGAGGTCCTCCAGGCCTTGTGATGGCATGCTGGAGGAGCTGAGCGCCAGACGGTGCGACGTCGTGCTTGAAGTGGGTGGCTCCAGGCTATACTCTACATCATACACCGGCAGAGCTTGCAAGGCGTCGTTACCATGAAGCAAAAGGGCTTGGCAGCTAGGATCAAAGAACCCATGCCTGGTGAGGCAAACAGTGCGGCCCAGGTCGAGCGGGAGGTCTTGACTCCGAGCTGCGGCTAGTAGCTCGCAAGCTGCTGACGCGGTCCTCGCACAACCGAATACCCCCCGCCAAGTGCACACAGATCAACTGGGATGCAAGCTTGGTTCCATGCAACTTCATTCGGCACGACCACGACCTGCTCAGGAGGCAGGCTGGGTAGCAAGGTCTGCAGCTCATGAACATGCCAAAGCTGGAATGACAACCCGAGCAATTGGAGCAGGACCCGATGCATCTGCATGCCGTGCAGACGCACGTCCACTGCAACCGTGGTGGGTCCTCCGGCTTGGTGCCCAGCCACGAAAACCGCCACTGGACGGAGGTGGTTGGGTCCCGCAGCATGCGGGTTGTCCGCCCCGGCTGCCGGGTGCATGATGGGAATCTCAAGCTCATGTAGATGCTGCACCCGAGGCACCGGTTGCACGACGAGGATAGAGTCCCCTCGAAAGCGCCGGGAAGAACCAGAGAGGTGGACTCAGCAGGCCAGTTGGTAGCTGCAGCAGGTGCAGGAGCGCCCGTAGCCGTGCCATGAACCGGAGCAGAGTACGGTGGCACACGGCAGTCAGCAACATGTGCAGAGGCAATCAGCCAAAGCAAAGCCATGCCTTTACCTGAGCGGGGACGTGGAGCGCGGATCCTGTGCTTGGGGCAGAGATTAAACCGAGCCCGAGAGGGAGGTTCCAGGCAATTCCAAGGGGCCCGCCTCAGCCATAGGAGAGAAGGCCGAAGAAATCCATAAGGGAGAGTGACGAGCCGAGGGACACCAGCTTCCGCACAAACAACGGCTACCCAAGAAATCAGTGCTACCGTCATTGCAGCTGTACAGAGAATCCAGAAGACCTGTACAACCTTCCTCTCAAGCTGATTCAGAAAAACGGGCAGTCCTGGTCGAGGAGCACGGCTTCTGCTTCGTCGTCCGTCTTGACCGTAGCAAGATGCCCATGCGGTGTCAAGCCACGTCCCAGCACCTCGTGGGGGTTTGCCCACTCCTGCAGCGTCTGCGGAGCGAAGCCGTCCAGACCCAGAATCCGCGAGTTGAGGAGGTGCGCCAAAGCAATGACGCCCTGCCTGCAAGAGATAACCAAGACAGGCTGGGAATGCACCATCCCCCCCAGGTGTTGGACATCCTGCACCATGTTTAGGATGCGAGGGCCAGTGACCGAGTCGGGGTCCTGCGCATGCTCCAGCAAAGTTTTCCAGATGGCCTCTGCGATGCCATGGAAACTTGAGATCTCTGCATCTGTGGCTGGGCGCCCCGGAAGGGCTGCTTGGTCCGGCGGTTGGGGCACGTCCCCTACCAGGTCGCGACCCTGAGCTGCCAAGCGTTGCACCACAGCGATCCAAGATTGGAGCCACGATCTTTGCGTCTCCACCCAGTCCAGTTCGCCCTGAGCCGAGTCCTTCAGTTCCACTGGCACCGGTGCTGCACCAGGGGTTCCAGTAGGCTCCGGAGGGTTCGGCATAGATGGGTCGGCGCTTGCATCCAGCTGGGTCTTGAGATCCCCTGGCCTGGACAGAGGCGTTGGCTTGTGGCCCAGCGGCGATCGTCCTGTGGCAGCACTGGGCCATGGCGTCGCAGACCCTTCGGCCGTGCCAGCATTGTCCGAAAGGGGATCGCTCCGCCTGGGACTTTTGGATGGCCTGGAGGCCGCCGGGTCTGTTGCCCTCTTCAGAGCCCACCGGCGCCCCGATGCAGCGGCGGGGGTTCCTGGCGGGACGTGCGATCGTGTTGTCGGCTCGATCAGGGCGTCCTCCACAAGGTTTCCAACCCCACCAAAGCCTAGGTCCATGGTGGCGTGGAGGTCGGCAGGGCCTGCACCTGTGTTGTCCGGAAAACCGAAGTGCCCGCCTGACATCGGTAGGATGGCAGAGCTGCCTGCCGACACTGTAGCTGCTGCTCTTAGCTCGGCGGCAATGCGGAGCACTTCGTTCCCCACCATGGTCGCGATCGGTGGCCCCATGGCTTCCGCGGCTTGCTGGCGCAGGAGGGCAGCCTGCCCTGCCACCAGCCCTTGGGATGCTGTATCTAGGGCTGCCGTGGCGTCTTGGATATCTGCATCGAGGCGTGCACCCACATTGTTGATCTGTCGAGGAACAGCCGCAAGGTGGCGGCCTACCCGGTCGAGCCATAGTCCCAAGACCTGCCCCAGCGCCACTTTCGCCCGGGAGTTCGCCTCCAGGCGCTTGGTGGCTCTGGTGATCGCGGCTGCCTGTTGATTGGCCGCCTGGATAAGCGTGCGATCCTCCGCAACCGTATAGTCGTCGAGTCGCAGGTCGGATGTGGCCCGATCTCGGAGGGATTGCAGAGCTGTGATCACCTCCGCAGGGAACCCAAGTTGCACCTGCGATGTAGACGGGAGTGGCCCCTCTGCTTTGCCAGATTTGCCGCCACCCTTCCCTTGTTTTTCCCTGGCTGGAGTCTTCGGTGGCATCGATCCGTGATGCGAGCGGAGAAGCTCGATGTCCTGTGGTTGTCCGCGGCCAGCGTGTAGGCGAGCTCTCGCCTTGCGACGCTGGTGACGCTTCCTTCTGTGCCAGCCAGGTTCGCCTTGCCGAGGAATGGTCCGCAGGAGCCTGCCCAATCCACAGAAGGAAAATCCCAAGGGCAAAGAGTGGCAGTAGGAGGAAATAGGGTCTCCTACTGCCCATAGAATATCCACACGCCTGTCGGCAGAGTCAACTGCAGCGACAGCGCAGGCGGGGCCCAACCGCCGAGGAAAAAGGCCAGTGTAGCCACTCACAGCAGAGGGCGGACGGGGGCCAGCCGTCAAAGAAAAGGCCTTGCCGCTCACAGTAGAGGGCGGGTGCAGAGCACCGTGCAGGCCCAGCAAAGGGCAGCTGCAACCAGTCCCCAGACTGGAGGCGACGCGAATGGCAGAGCAAACGCTAGGGCCTGGCACCTAATATGCAAATAGCTGAATCAAAGAGACAGCCAAATGCAATATCTGAGCCGAGACGCCTTCAATCCTAAACCCTAAATCCTGAAATCCTAGAATCCTAAGCCCTAAATCCTGAATCCTAAGCGCCCTCCAGAGTCAATGGGGCACGATTTGGGGTTACTCTTTAGCTACGCTAAAGGTGGTCTGGATACGGCCAGCCCTTAATTGAGTTCGGACGTTGTCGTAAGCAAGGCCACATTCGTTGGCCTGTCCAGGACAGGCGGCGAGGCTTAACCCTCGCCTTTCCGTCTCTCTTTCCGTATGGGCGCTCGGGCTGTGAGGCCCTCGGCCAAGCGTTCGGGGTCTGTCGCTCGACGTCTGCGACCCCTCTCTTAGTTTAGGGCTTTAGGGTTTTAGGGTTTAGGGTTTAGGGGTTTAGAGGTTTAGGGTTTAGGGTTTAGGGGTTTAGGGTTTTGGGGTTTAGGGTTTAAGGTTTAAGGTTGAGGGTTTGACAGCCTCGGTTGACTCGGTTGCATTACACCATTTCAGGTATAAGGTTGAGGGGGTTACGGGGTATGCAGGGCTTGCAGGGCTTATGCATGCGGCTGAGAGGGGTGCTAGTATAGGGCACGTCTACTGTAGATCTGTTGACTGTTGTGTATCAAGCCAGGAAGGTTCATCAGTTGATGTCCCTCGGGAGGTCAGCGGTGGGTCTCAAATGTTTTCCGTGGACGAAACACCATCTTTTGTACATATGTGACATATGATGATCGGTACTGATACTGCAGACATGTTGCTCTGCATACAATAGTGCTGAACATGAACGTGGAGCCTGGACGCCTCAGCAACGCCAATCTCCCTGCCTGCAGCTGCAACTATGAAACCCTGAGCCATCCTGAAGCGCAAGCAGTTGTGCTGGAAATCGTACTAAAACCCTGAAGAGAATACTGAACATCCACGTTTCTCAGTTTCACGCCCATTCTCAGCACTATACAGCAGAAGGCAGGCAGCTGGAAGTTTGAACCACTGTATGCTATATCCCGACTCTAGAATCGAAGGCCAGGAAAAGCAGCACAAGTCATCCCTTTCTGATGTTGAATCGTAACAGCCACTACTGCGTGCAACTGCCGAACCCTAGAATAGTAGAACTGAATCCTAAAACCCCTCAACCTTCAAATTCTAACACAGAAACCCTAGAACCCTATAAGCCCTTGCCAACCTTGGGAAGCCCTATAAACCCTAAAGCCCTACGGTCACCGAGGCGGCTGCATCCTTGAAAGAAGCGGCATGCCAACGACTCCGGCGAGAGCTCCAGGTACTCGACCATGCAGTCTCAAAGCACGCAGACCTGATTAATATAGGGGCCTAGAGTTGTTTTTTTTACGGCTTCAGGTTTAGGGTTTGGGGTCTATAAGGATTACTATAAAGGGTAGTATGGGGGTTTAGTATAGGGGCCTAAATAATTACCTATACTTTTTTTGGGGGGGGGTTCCTCATAGTATTGATAGTATAATGGCCCCAGAACCCTATTCTAATTATTAAGGCCCCTACATGATGTTATTGTAAGTGTTGCGATGTACCTTGGCATATGCATGATCGGATCACAGAGGCGGAGATGAAGACACTGAGCATCCAGAAAAAGAAATTGACGGGTGCACGCAGATGTGAACCAGTGTTTGTGTGAGTGTTGGAGCTCTTGGGTGGGTGGGCGCGTGGATGGGTGAGAGAGCATGATGTGAGTGAGCGACCAAGTGACAAAGTGAAGAGAGACGGGATTGAATGAGCGAGCGTGCTAATGCGAGCATGAGTGGGCGCAAAAAGTGATAATTTGACTGGCGTTTGAGCGTGAGAGCGAGTGTGAGTATGACCGCATGTGCGAAGAGTGTGCATGTACAAAGCACAGGTGTGCATCTATGGATGTTCTCTTTGGCGTTGCCTGTTGTCTACTCAGAGCAACTTCTGCACTGCTGTGAAAGAACTCTATAGAGCTAGGTATGACATGCTTGCCATTCTTAGTGTGTATTCATACATAACCACAATCAGATACAATATGTGAGGCTGATATCTACACTCACAGAGAGACCGAGATGGGGAGAGAGACGGAAAGACAAAGAGGAAAACAGAGAGAGGTAGAACTGTCAAACAGGGCGCGGGGCTCGCCTCCCACTTGGAAAGCATGAGACTCTCTCAGGCCTGTTCGAGGAACGGGAAAGAAAGAAAGAAAGAGAGAGAGAGAGAGAGAGAGAGAGAGTGAGAGAGGGGGAGGGGGGCAGGCAACATGGGGGGTCGGAGCTAGCAGAAGTAGCATCGCTGTCAAGTTCCTATTTGTATCAATACGTATACAGTAAATCTACCCCACACCCCCGTTCTGATTATTTCTTGGTCCCTATGCTGAGTTTCGAAGGAGCTCCAGGATCTTGTGGCGGCAGAGTCGACGGATGCCCTGTGTCAGGAGCTCACCGACTGCCCGACACTTGGAATGGCAGGGATTTTCACGGTTTAGGGTCTGCATAGTGTTGATTGGCCATGTTCTGGGGTGTTTCATCGTTCTGTGGATGAGTTTCCACAAATTAGTGCTTGCTTCCAGGTTGCCACCATGCATGCGATTAATAGTATCATCAGGGTTGCTGCAGTGGTCACGCTTAGCTTCACGGCGGCTTGACAAGTTCCCACCCCCGCCCTATTCCGAGCTTTCGCAAGACCGAGGCCAAAAGAGGCTCGCCGATGCTGCGGAAGAGCAGTGCCTGTCTCAGATCAACAAAACTTAAGGGTACTTAGAAATAATTTTTAGTTTTTTGCTATTCTAATTCCTAAGAAACAGCTAAGATCATAATTTTTGCTAGGGTTCTAAGTCCAGTATAGAAAATCCTTGCCGGTATTCATCCTTTGCCGGGGATGTTCTTAGTGCTGAGCCTTGTTAGCAGGACCCAGAGTAGGCCCTTATTCCCTTTTTTAGGGTTCAGGTTCCCTTATAAGTACCTTTAAACCAAAATGGGCACCCTTTTTATTCCTAGGTTATTCTTGGGCCCCTAAACCCAAAACCCCTATAGATCCCTTAAAGGAACCCTTATAGTACCCTTTAAAGGACCCCTTAGGTTACTCTTGGGTCTAGTTGTTAGCAGGAGCCGAGTGTTGCATGGAGGGCAGGAGTTCCACGCTGGGGGTTTGTCTCGGGCTCTCACTCTAAAGTAAAAGCCAGAAAGTTGGAATATGATTATCCTAAACCCTTTATGGTAAATTATAGGGTATCAACTTTCTGGAGTTTCGTTTATGTGCAATGTGCAGATTTAGGGACTTTAGGGATCCATCTTTGGATGCAGGTTGTGCAGGAGTGGTGACGAGCGTAACAAATGTGATGGTGTATGACCCGTCTTCGCCGAGTGCATGTGGCTATGTGCGGATGCAACATAAGGAGCGCATACCATGTCTAATGCTGATCCGAGCCTTACAGAAATCAAGATGACATGCTTTCCGCTGTTCACCAAGGCAAACGGCCATCAGCAGCAGAGATCCCAGTCCAGGAGTTTTAGACTTGAGCTTCGAGACATCCCAAAGACATTGATTACGCTCCAGTTCGGATGATTTCGTTTTCGAGGCAGATCTGAGACAGATATGCTCAGTTCGCACAATAAGCAAGATGCCTTTCTGCATGCAAACATGCATTCATTCTGCTGTCTGTATGTATGCATGAGTGTATGATAATGTAGTGTATGCATACGTGCATGCATACACACACATGTGTATGTATGATGTTCGTATTCTGATATGCAATATACATACACATGCACATAAATGCACCTTCTATCCAGTATGTACTGTATACACATGCCATAAGCCATGGTTTGATTAGTACCGTCTTGCGTCTGAGGTTGGGGAGAGAAGCAGCGCGCGGTGGCGCACGAAGTCGAGGTCCTCAAGAAGGCCAGGTCTCCAGTGCAAAGCCCGCTGGAGCCCAAGGGCCGTGTGCAAGGCAGGGTTTAGGGGTTTAGGGTTTAGTTTGGGTTTAGGGTTTTGGGGGCTTAGGGTTTGACGTTTAGGGTTTGGTTGGGAAGCTGCTGACATTTACTGCTATTGGTATGTTGGTACCAATACTATACAAACACTGCAGTCGCTATGTTCGCTTACTTCTATGACGACAACGGCCACTTGGCTACTGCGACAGCTGCTGGAATTCGTACACCTTGGCGGGTTCGTGCTGGCGACCGGTGGGTAGCAAAATTAGGGTCCCTTTGGGGGTCCTTCTTAAGAGGGTGCCGTATTATTTGGGGGACCCCGAAATAGGCCCGAATTTAGAGAACTCACTCCCATGTGCCCCGAAGCCTATACCCTGCATGACCCCTAAAACCCTATAAGCCCTATACACCTAAACTCCTGAACCCTGAAACCCGAAACCCCTAAACCCGAAACCCCCTGAACCCCTAAACCCGAAACCGACCCGCAACCCCTAAACCCGAAACCCTCAAACCCGAGACCCGTAAACCCGAAACCCGTAAACCCTAAACCCTTATATAAACCCGAAACCCCTAAACCCGAAACCCCTAAAGCCGAAACCTCGAACTACGAAACCCCGAAACCCGTAAACCCGAAACCCCTAAACCCGAAACCCCCAAACCCGAAAACCCCTAAACCCGAAAACCCCTAAACCCGAAACCCCTAAACCCGAAACCCTCAAACCCGAAACCCCGAAACCCGAAACCCCTAAACTTGAAACCCCAAAACCCCCAAACCCGAAACACCAAAACCCCGAAACCCGAAACCCCAAACCTTAAAATCCTACAAAAACCTTATAGATCCCTCATAGAACCTTTATGGATCCCTTATAGAACCCTTATGGATCCCTTATAGAACCCTTATGGATCCCTTATAGAACCCTTATGGATTCCTTATAGAACCCTTATGGATCCCTTATAGAACCCTCATGGATTCCTTATAGAACTCTTATGGATCCCTTATAGAACCCTCATGGATCCCTTATAGAGCCCTTATGGATCCCTTATAGAACCCTCATGGATCCCTTATAGAACCCTTATGGATCCCTTATAGAACCCTTATGGATCCCTTATAGAACCCTTATGGATTCCTTATAGAACCCTTATGGATCCCTTATAGAACCCTCATGGATTCCTTATAGAACCCTTATGGATCCCTTATAGAACCCTTATGGATCCCTTATAGAACCCTTATGGATCCCTTATAGAGCCCTTATGGATCCCTTATAGAACCCTTATGGATCCCTTATAGAACCCTCATGGATCCCTTATAGAGCCCTTATGGATCCCGTATAGAACCCTTATGGATCCCTTATAGAACCCTTATGGATCCCTTATAGAACCCTCATGGATCCCTTATAGAGCCCTTATGGATCCCTTATAGAACCCTTATGGATCCCTTATAGAACCCTTATGGATTCCTTATAGAACCCTCATGCATCCCTTATAGAACGCTCATGGATCCCGTATAGAACCCTTATGCATCCCTTATAGAACTCGAAGCCCCTAAAACCCCAAGCCTCGGCCAGGCTGCTCGGGCTTTGGATGCTGAGCGCGACGAGAAGCAGAACCTTGCCGACGAGCGTGCCGGGAAGCCTGGGACAGATACTGCTGATGGATTTTGTCCCTGTAGAGGAACCCCTAAACCCCTACGTATCTCTCAAAGTTTCTTTTAAAGGGGTCGATAACGGGGTTTTGCCTCTAAAGGGATCTATAGATCTTTGGGGGTTTTAGGGGGTTAAGGTTTAGGTTTTAGGGTCTATAGATCTATAAGGGTTCTATCAGGGTCTTTCTCTATGCTCTAAAGGGATCTATAGATCTATATAAGGGTTCTATCAAAGGGATCTGCAGATCTATAATCATAGTCATACGCGTTCTATCAGGGTTCCTTTAAGGGGATTTGGATGGGTTGAGGGTCTATATTGGGATTATCGTGCTTCCGGATGTAGTACTCTGGGGTGCAGCCGTCGGGAGCATCCAGAGGATGTAAGTGGGAGTTTCCGAAGATAAGGGATACCCTATTTTGGGGTCCTTATATGAAGGATCCTACTATTTAGGGAACTATATATATAAGGTCCCCTATTTTCGGGAACTCCCAAGGATGCAACCCCAGGGCTGCAACTCCCAGCGTCCGAACGCGAGAAGCCATAGAAACTACGACCAAACCCGAAGCTCCTAAAACCCATTTCCATAGGCTGCAGTCTTTAGGTTCCTTTAAAGGGATCTATAAGGGGATCTATAAGGGGGTTTATAGGCTTTAGAGATTTAGCGACTTTGGGAGTACCTATAGGTTCCATGGTAGTTCCGTTTTGGGGGGTCATATATGGAATCCTATAAGGTAACCCCCAAAAGGAGCTACTATGGAGCCTATGGGCAAGCCCAGAAATCTGAACCTGAAACTGAGCCCCTTAGGCCTTTCATCACGGCCCAGAGAAATCCCAGAAGCCCATTTCTAGTAACCCTTATAGTATCCCTTATCATAATAACCCTCATAGGAACCGGAATACTATCCTTAAAGGAGCCCTGAACCACAAACCCTAAACCTTAAACCCTACACCCTAAACCCTAACTACAATTATAGATACCCTTCTGAAAAGCAGCGACGAGGCCCAAGAGCTCCAAGACCTTGGCATGGCTTTACAGGCGGCTTAGGGCTTTTCGGGATACTACGTAGGGGTTTAGGGGTTCCTTTAAAGGGATCTTTAAGGGTTCCTTTAAAGGGATCTTGAAGGGTTCCTATACGGGACCTATAAGGATTCTTTGCAGGGCTTTTAAGGCTTTAGGGTTTACGGCTTAGGGCTTTAGGGGGTCTGTGGGAGTTTCGGGGTTTGCGCGGAAGTTTAGACTTAGAGTGCGGGCAGACCTTGTGAAGCAAGGGTGTCTTGTGGAATCGAGTTGAAGGTAGGTGCTATGCCCAGTGCATTTTATGGAGATCCACATGGCAGGTCATTTCCGTTCTCTTAAATCCTTACTTACTACACTACACCATGCGGAACCAAACCCGGAGAAGCCAAGAACGCATGGCGGCAGCACATGCGCCACTGATCGGTGTCTTACCCGTCATTTCGAACAGCCCCGGAACTACTGTTGATGATATAAATCCTGCATTACCTTAAGGACCCTGAACTATGGGAATTATGGTATACTCCTTACTATGGGTAATGCAGGACTTATATCATCAACCGTATGTTTGGGTATTCGAAGCTTGAGCACTGAGACCTGCAAAGCATGTAAAGGCTACCAAGACAACATGTGCAAAGTAATAAAAAGGGCCTTGATATTAACCTATACTATTCTGGTGGTTCCTTTTTAGAGTTATAGCTTGGTAAACCCCCAAAGCCCTAAACCCTAAACCGAGAGTTATAGTCTGGTATACCCCAAGGATACAGGGTCAATGTTAAGGTTTGCGCAATTGCGTAAATAGCAGTAATGTCTTGCATTCCATCTGAAGCTATGCAATAAGACACCCCAGATCCTGAATGAACATGTTCTATCGATTACAGAAGGGTTCTTTCTCAATGACTGATTAAAATGTCCCTGTATCTGCAGGGTTTTCAATCCATGCCACTATCCTTGTTACAGGAGAGGCCTGGCACATGAGGGATCCCAAAGCTCAAGCAACCTTTGGGGCCTAAACCGGTAAACTGCCTTCACCTGCTCGAACCCGGAGTTCCCAAAAAGAAAAAAGCCCTAAAACACAAAAAACCCTCAGTTCCTAAACCTCTCAATCCTTGAGCCCAGAAAAATTTACCCAAAACCCTCAAACTCTCTTCAGTCTTTGATCTACGAGGCCAAAAGGGGTTTAGCCTAGTGGGGTTTAGTAGGGATTGGGGTTCCCATAATCGGGTTCATATTAAGGAATCCCTACCCCAAGAATCTTAAACCCCCTTTCTGCCTCCCATCACTTAAAGGATCATGGGACTTAATAACTAGGGTTATAATTAGGCTAACTATACTTAGAGCTACTTATAACCTCAATTAAGGTACTTATAAGCTTACTTACAAAGGCCCATGATCCTCCAAGCATCATTCTCTTTTAAAGGGATCTGTAAGGGTTCCTATAAAGCACCTATAAGGGTTTTCTATAAACGGGTTTAGGGTTTGACTTTACATTTTCCAGGCAGACCAGGAAGCGCTCCAGGAAGCGCAGAAGGCCCGAGCTGCGGCAGAAGGGCCGGAAAAATGGGTTGAGAAGTTACCCAAAGGATCCGAGTAACCATACAGTATATACTTTGGGGTACTAAGTACCGACTATAATGGTACTTGGACCCTTTGGGTTAGGATTTTGGAGTTTGGGGTTCGGAACGTAGTGAGGGAAGGAAGCGTGTGTTTCACGCTACACCCCTCACCACTCCTAAGCGCTAGGCATCCTTAAAACGTAAATGTATTAAGAAACAATCCGAAATCTCGTCCACTTCTAAACTGCGCATTCCGAAGATGCCAACACCACGCTACATCCCAACGATCTGAATTCCTAGACCTCCTGGCATCAAAGTACTTCAAGGCTTCGAAAGGACGTTGTTGACACCGTGTGTTTTGTTCAGTCTTGGCTGTGTGTTCTTTGAGCTGAAGTCAAACTCGGCTGATTGCATCGCAGGCGCTGGACGACCAACGTGCCAACTCAAACAACCAGCATGCAGCCTCAGCTTTTCGTAGAGTGTGGCATAGTACAGTGCAGTATATAGTGTGGCGTAAAATAATGTAGTATAGTACATATAGTGTAGTATACTGAGTTGTAATTATATGATATGCTTTGCTCTTGGAGACTCCAGACTTCTTGCGGCTTCTGATCGCAGCAGGGCATACAAAAGTTGTTGATGGGGTCACGTTGGTTTGCGATTTCAAGTGACTGCCGAATGAATAATATGGGGGGGCATAAATAATCGCCAATACTGTTTTGTGGGTTCCTTATTATAGTTATAGTATCATGGGCTCCAAAGGCCTATTCCAATTATTCAGGCCCCTATAGTAGGGACGTGTGAAAGGGCCTCCTGGGACTTGCACGGGAAGCATTACCCCCCCCCCCCCCACACCTGTCGAGACTGCCGACAAAAAATGCTATTCTCGTCGCATCCGGACCATGGCGATTGGCACTCTTCGCAGGCGTCTGATATTGGAACTTGGGTTTCGGGGCATGTTATAGTATAACTATGTAGGGTTGCCAGGCCGCTATGTTGCAGTCCGCTGTGATGCCTGTCTTCATGAGGCGACACCATCTCGGGCAGCAGCAAGAGCTTCGCACAGAGAGGCTGAAGGGCATGCCTATGCACATTGAAGCCTACATATATATATATATATATATATATATATATATTATATAAGATATATATATATATAAGATATATATATATATATATATATATACACATGCACAGAGTGTGTCGCCAATGAAGTTTATATATCGTTTCTAGTTGACACTGAAATCTGAATCGGCGACTGCTAGTGGGCTTTGGGCTTAAAGGGGTGCTTCTTGATGTCGTATAGTCATACGGTATAATCTCAAGCTCCACGCGCCTGGAAGTCACGTCGTCAGCTTACGAGCAAGAGTGTGGCCAGAAACTATTATTGGGGATTATATAGGGACTACTATAGGGATCCATTCCCTACTAAGGCCGAGGGAGTCATTCCAAGGAAGTGTCACATTTTCGGGCTGCATAGGTTTGAGTCTTAGGCCTCAGGTGCTTTTGTGGTTTTTGATGTAGGTCGAGTCTACTTGGAGGGTCATGGGACTTAGCAAGTATGGTTGGAAGAACCTTAATTGGGGTTATAAGTAGTTATAAGTATAGTTACCCGAATTAGAACGCTAGTTCCTAAGTCCCATGACCCTCTAAATACCCCCAAGACCCACCTAGAACCTTTAATGGTAACCCTTATAGATCCCTTAAGGTAAACCTTTATCCGACCCTTTAAGTAGGGTCGGATCTCGGCTTCGAGCCTTGGCCGGCCCTGAAGACTCGAGGTGTTGATGAGTCTCATCGGGGTAAGTGCTCTTGATGATATAAATCCTGCATTACCCATAACAAGGAACAAACCATTATTCCCCATGGTTTAGGTTTAGGCTCTTTAAGGTAATGCAGGATTTATGTCATCAACTGTGTGACTTCTATACTCGACCCAAAACCCTTGTTTTTTATACAGTCACTGCGACATCAATAGCAGAAAAAAACCATACCCGATACCTTGAAGGCCATTTCTTGAAATCCTAAACCCACCCAGGGGCCCTATACAGCCCGGCTTGGAACTTTACAAAGCCCTAAACCCTAAGACCCTAAACCCTACACCCTGAACCCCTGTACCCTTATAGGTCCCTTGTAGGAGCCCTTATAGATCACGTTAAAGGAACCCGAAGCTCAGTAAGTCCTCGAGTCCTTTCGCTGGGCAGGTCCGACCATCTCGAGTTGCTTCAGCAAGAAGCTCGAAGGCTTCGGGCGCAGGCAGCTTCAGCGTAATATAGAGACCTTAGTGAGAAGCAATGCAATAACAATAGTAATAGTGATAGTAATAATAGTAATACTATCAACACTAATCATATTAATTTTTTTTTGGGGAATGATAATCAGAGTAGGGTTCCGGCGTATAGTCTACTGTATATGTCATACGCAGTACTATTGCCAATTATGTGCATCCCTGCAGTATGAAGCCCAAGGGCTCCAAGTACCATTATACTAGGTACTTAGTGCCCTAAAGTATATACTATATGGTTACTTGGTCCTTGTGAGAAGTTTGTGGTGAGGCTCAGGGTCGAGGCCTTGGTGCTATTGCCTTGGCACTGCGACTGTTGACTGCTTATGAGTACTCATTGCAAGTGCAGTTGCTTCTGCTCCTGCTGCTGCTACTCCTCCAGCTGCGCTGCTGCTGCTGCTGCTGCTACTGCTACTGCTGCTACTACTACTACTACTACTACTACTACTCCTGCTACTACTACTACTACTACTACTACTACTACTACTACTACTACTACTACTACTACTACTACTAGGTCTTCTCCCGATCATCCTCCCTCTCCCCGTCCCTGTCCCTGCCTCTACTCCTCTCTCTCTCTCTCTCTCTCTCTCTCTCTCTCTCTCTCTCTCTCTCTCTCTCTCTCTCTCTCTCTCTCTCTCTCTCTCTCTTCTGGAGATTCAGGGTAGGATGTCGGGTACAAGCTATGAAAGTGTACTACCTGGATCCGAAAATGCCCGACTGCCCGAATTTTCGGCGAGGTGCGCGACCGAACAACAGAGGCGGGCGATCCTTTTGGGCGCGGCCCTAGACCCTAAACCCGAGAAGAGGTTTCGAGGAAGATGAAAAGCTTAGTGCAAGAGCCTCGATAGGCTTATCCCTTTCAGCAGAGGCCGAAGGAAGCTTAGGATCCCGTCGTTGATTGCAATGCAGGACTTCGGTCTCACCATAGCAGTTCGTCACCGCCGGCCTGCTAGCTAGACTTGAAACTGGAGCGGTTAGGGATGTAGGGTCAGGTTTTGGGTTAAGTCGACGATAGTGGCAATTAAGGCCATACCAATCCATGTGGGCCTTGATTTCGATTGGCCTCAGAAGCCAAGTTCGAGTTGCCCTTTTTTCTTTATTCCGCTAGGAAGCGTCCATCCATGACGACCTCATGCACATGACCAAGGTCTCAGGCTCAGAGAGGTCTTGGCCAAATTCTGCGCCATTCTTGCAGTATCGGGTCGGATTGGTGAAGACTTTGTGGGTTTATCTCGGCGGTTCACCTACATTCGGGTCCCAAGCCTTGTGTTTGATGAACTTTTCGAAGTTCTGACATTGAAGCAGCATCACATGATATCTGGGCCCAGGTCCCACGCCCCGCAGGGATAAACGCTCATTATGTCTCTATGCATAATCATATACTTGCATGCATAGGTGCATATGACAATCCCACTTGCAGACACAGGCATGGCTGTCTGGCACGCCTGTTCATGCACCATGATCGAGTGCTCGCCAGCATACAGAGTGCTGCAAGCACGATTGGTCCATCTTGGTGATGAGTCGACTCCACCTCCCAGTTCGACTATGCATCTATTCATGCATGCAGGAAGTGATTCACCTATTCATGCCCATGCACTGCGGCAAATCAAGCTGCCTTGCTATCTTGGTTGTCTAGGCACATATCAGCGTGGATTTTATGCTTGCCTGTTCCCGCTGTGACTTTTCATGTAAACGACACTATAGACTGAAAACCCCAAGCCCCCACTGACAGACCCTACAGTCCTATGTCCTATGCCTTTGGAATCCTGAAACCCTACCCTACAGTGCTACGCCACTGGTGAAGCCCACATTTTACGACCCACAACCCCGAAATGTCCAAAGCCCAAATCCCGGAACCCTGACATCACTTGTAGAACCCTTGTAGCCACCCTTTCGCAGTAGCCCGTAGAGCATCGTACAGCAGCCCTTGTGCTAAACCTAAGAATCACCCAATCCTAACCCCTAAGCCCTAAACCCTAAGCCCTGAGGAGAACCAGGAGCTTCATGAAGAGGTGCGGCAGCTGGAGATTGGCGCTGCAGCCCCGGAGCTTTCGCGTGAAGGGCTTGAGGGGTTTAGGGTTCATAGGGCTTATTATGAAGTTATAGCGGTCTAGGGGTTCAGGGTCTGTCTTATTATAAGACTTTACAGGTTTAGGGGCTTTGGTTCTCAGGAATTTTGGTGTTGCGGGTTTCCGGAGGTGCTGTCAAGGTGATAGGAAGCTTGGCAGGTGAGGATTCTGACACTCAAGGCTCAAGAATTGGGGGATAGAAGGTTGATGAAGATTGCAAGCAGGTATTCGAAGTTTCCTTCCCCGATGTCTTCCATGACGCCAAGAAGCCGTTTCGGCTGAGTATCATGTCGGAAGGTCCCACCACTTTAGCGAAGGCTCAGGCATTCTGCATGCTGATCCGCGGAAAGTCCTAAATCGCAACGGTACCTGAGCTACCAGCTCTGCAATGTCCTGCAGCTTTCAACTCCCAAAGGGTCCGAGTAACCATATAGTATATACTTTGGGGTACTAAGTACCGACTATAATGGTACTTGGACCCTTTGGGACTATTGACTGGCCGCGCAAACTTTGAATTCGAGGGCCTCTAAAGCCAGAGCCCCGAAACATTCGGGCTGCCGCACTCCCCTTGCGATATATATATATATATATATATATATATATATATATGATATATATATATATATATATATATATATATATAATGTGTCCAACTTTTGGCACCGTGTCAATCTAAACTAAGTGCAGCTGCGAGGGAAGGGCTACAGTAGCTTAAGATACGCACTCCAAACCCCATCTATAAGGGACTGAAAACCCTAAAGGACATGGTTTAGAGGCAGAGGTGTATGCAAGCCCTAAGCCCTAAAATCCGCCATCATTCAACCTCAAATTTCCTTAAAGCCCACACCCGAAGCCCTCAGCCCTAAGCCTAAACCTTGAGCCCAAACCCGTCTGGACTTTGCATTTTGAGTGCTACGCATCCCTGCCCATGAAACGCCCTCGCCGACGCTTCGGCTGGCTCCGGCGATGGGCCTTCGAAGCTCGGACAAGTACATACATACATATTTGCGGATGTGTCCGTGTATCTGCATGTGCCTGTGTATGTGTGAACATACATGCATCTACGCGTGTACGCGTGTGTGTATGTATGTATGCATGTAGGCATGTGTGCATGTATGTATGCATGTGTGTGTATGTAGGTAAGTAGGCAGGCAGGCAGGTAGGTAGGTAGTATATAGGTAGACAGGCAAGGAGGGAGGTAGGTAGGTAGGTACGTATGTATGCGTTTGTGCATGTTTGTATCAGGTACCCATGCATTTATGCACTTGTGTACGTATGATTACGTATGTTGGTCTGTATGTGTGTATGCATGTTTGGGATGTTTGTCTTGTCTTCTCGTCTTGTGAGTTGTCATGCTTTGTCGTCGTGTCTGGTGTCTCGTCTGTACGCATGTGTTGTGTTTGGTTTCTTTTGGTGTTCAATATGTCATGTGGCATCGTCATCTCATATTTCCAACATCTCGCAACCTGGATTGTCTGACATGCTACCGTTCGAGCATTATCAGTTCTCGTGTACCTTAAGGATTTATGTAGCATTGTTTTGTAGTCCTTGCCGTTGATCTATATGGCTCTAACGAGGCCTTTTGTGGGCACCTTCTTGAGACTGTGTGCCAAGCTTGGGTGTCCTGAATCAGGATCCTTCTTGGAGCACTGATGGTTACAATAATGTGTCCATGCGATGTTGTTCTTTCCGCGAGCACTACGGTACTACGAGCACAGACACAAGTGAGTGTGTGTTTTTAGCAGGTGTCGACAGCGACTTCTCATTAATATGCTCCGCATATCGGTCCTCAGCACATGGCATGACCCAGAATCGGAAGATCCCAGGTTGGAGTCGCGTCATGCGCGACCCTGATGCATCCAGCGATGTCGCCTGCCTGCACCAGCATCTACCTAGACCTCAGATTCCGGCTCCTTGTTGAGACGGGCTGCTCCATCTTGTTTCATGTAATTCCGCTCATGATCCGGGCCAGAATGACTAGGCCGCATTTTGGGTTCTCTCGCGCGAGTCACATGAACAGACGGCAAGACATCAGGGTGCTAGCTTGTTAATCTAGCCAATCTTCAACCAAGCAGGTGCTGTTCTATTCGCAGCTCCTTTCGCCAGCATACGGCCTACCTCAAACAATTTGAACCATCAAGCCCTACACCTGAAGAGGACGCTGGTGCACGGTCAGCAGCTGCTTGCCGAGCTGACCAAACCTCCCCGAACGAGGACCGCCGCAAGATAGCCACCTTAGCTAACGGGGGCTTTAATTTGATTACCTACACTATTTTGGGGTTCCTTATTAACATTTATAGTATAATGGGCCTCAAATCCCCTCTGCAATTATTAAGACCTCTACAGTAGGTTCTAGGCTAGGGGTTATACTTGGAAGCCTTGAGATGTTAGGGTTTGGGGACTGTGCCCTCGCTACATCAAGCCATGCCCAAAGCCCGCATACCCTGATCATGAGTGCCTCCTGCTAAACCCGGGTTCTGATGCACAGAGTTTCTCGAGGGGGCAGCTGCATGCGCATGGTGCGGATGCGCCCTTGGTGGCGGCCGTGTCAGCGGGACAGGCGGGCTGAGATTGAAGACTCGGGAGTTTAGAGAGTCAGTGCAAGGCTTGCAAGCTTTGCCAAAGAAGCCCAAGAATTCACACCCCAAGATTCGAAATCTCGTCATCAGATCACACCTTGCACAGAATCGAACAACAACACAGCCTGTTCCACACCCTGAGCTCCAAATCATCCAATGATGGGACCTTCTCAACTCCAGCATTCTTGTCGAAGTTTGTCACCAGACGATCCTTGCCCTGGAATCCTAGCATTATGTCGCAACTCTCTAAGAATCTGAGGGGCCCCATTAACCCATTAAATGGGTTAGGTGCCAAAATGGTATACTATCGTGACTATAGCCCTAAACCCTAAAACTCTAAACCCTTAGATAGACTAGATGCCAGCGAGCTGAGGCCGACACTGCAGCCCTGCTGTTGGCAGCAGGACTCAACATAAACAGTGTACTCACTGACTTGGACAGCCATCGGCCACGTTGGACCAACAGTAGTAGACCCGGCTCTCCGTACACCCACTGCGACGTAGTGACTTAGTGCACTCGTTTGTAAAAGCCTAATATAGGGGTCTTGATAGTTTAGTACACTTTGTTTATAATTATAGGAATCCCTAAAGTAGTATAGGGGCTATAGGATGCTTGGTGTTCTCTCGTGGTTGAAGCGTGGAGGGAATGGTGAACGTCAAGTGCGCAACTTGGCCACTAAACCCTAAGCCCTAACCCCTAAACCCTTCAGGAGAAAACCCCAATGATCCTGACGAGACAGGGCAGACGGCACTTTGGCGGCTGATGACATGGGAGTTACCAAAAATTAGGTACCCGATTTTGGGTAAGCATCCTACTATGTTACTATTTTGGGTACTATATTAGGGTCCTCTATTTTCGGCAACCCCCCATATAAAGCCTGCATCTACAAGGGTGCCTTTAATGGGCTCCTTCAAGGGATCTATAGGGTTTTAGGGTTTAGGGTTGATGATATAGACCCCGCATCTATAAGGGTGCCTTTAAGGGGCTCCTTCAAGGGATCTATAGGGTTTTAGGATTCAGGGTTGATGATACTTACTCTATGGGAATTTTGGTGTATTCCTTTATATGGGGAAGCCAGGATTTATATCATCAACCGTACTTCAGCGCGCTGATGCTGTTACAACCCCAATCCGAATCCTAAGAGGAGGCCCTGTCATGGTTTGGGATGGTTTTCGACAGCGTTCCAGTCCTAACCATGACTTGGGGTTCAGGGGTTTAAAGTAAAGCCAGAAAGTTAGAATATGATTATCCTAAACCCTTTATGGTAAATTATAAGGTATCCTACCCTGAAACAATATTCCAACTTTCTGGAGTTCCCTTTAGAGATGTTGCCGTTTTTCAATGTGTGGTCCGAGCCGTCCTGCATGTGCCCCTCATTCGCAGAGGGCATATCCACATGAACGTTTTGCTTCCTACCACTACAGAACTACCAATATTTTTCCTACAGGGCCGTAGGGTTCCCTATTGTAACTGTATAGTATACAGTAAACCCTAAACCCCTACACCCCTAAACCCGAAAACCCCTAAACCCTAAACCCCTAAACCCCTAAACCCCTAAACCCTATACCCTAAACCCCTAAACCCTAAACCCTAAACCCCCAAAACCCACAGTCCGAGGCCCTCGTGGCGGCCACGCTGTATGGCGACCGCGATGTCGTGGAAGCCCTGTTGCAAGCGAAGGCTGCGCTCTACAGGGCCGAGTCACTGAGCTTCTCCTAAGATAGGGGCTTCAATAGCCTCCATAATTACCTATACACTGCTTTCGGGGTTCCGTATTATGGCTGAAGTAGAATAAACTAGTAAGGCCTCTATAATATTGGGCTTTTACAAACACAACCCTTGGATTTTGGGTAAGCTGCACATATCCGTGAAGGGGTTTGGAATGCCCAGCAGCAGGCATCTGTTGATCTGGCCAACGCGCAGCTGGAATGCATTGAGCCTTTCTTCTTGATACTTTCGGGGCCGAAATGCAGGGCAATAGGGGTCCTTTCCTTGAAAAAGGGTCCTATTAAGTTTGCTATAAGGGGTAATATGTCCCAGACCCTATTCTAATTAATAATGCCCCTATATCAGCCAAACACAGTTAAAGCGGTTCGACTGCACGGGCTTCAGTTGCATTGCATTGCGATACTAAAGGTTCACCATGGTTCATGTAAAGCTGTGGTGTCACTGGTAGTGGAGTTTCCGCTAAGCTCGTTGATGAAAAAATGTCCATGCAAGCAAGATATGTATGTTGGATGAGATCTGGGCATCCGGATGAAATCTGAAAGATAATCTTTGCAGATTGATGCCGCAGTGTCCGAGAAATCAGCTGTGCAGCGAGGACAGAATTAAGTTAAGGCCTTCGAAGCAGACTCAAGTTTCGGAACACAGCTGGGTCGAGGA